TCTTCCATAAATTAATTCTTTTTCTTCTAGTCCTTCGAGCCCTGCGCATAACAGATGAGCACACACTATCTGGTTGTACACTTCTTTGGTGTTAACATAGCTGTCGTGCACCTTGTCAGCACAAACAACTCATAGATAACTTCATTCTCTAGTTTCTGCTCAATCATGGATGCTTGTTTCTGTGTTCTTAGAGGCATGAAAAGCTTCATATACAAAAAAAGTTAGAAAAATATCAAAACTGGTGGAAAGTAAGTTTTTTTCTGGGGGATTTAGTGTGGGGAAGAGATTAAGACTTGGTGGTTGTTTTATAGGTGAAATTGAATTAAGGAATTTGAGTTCCATCATGTTATTTCAATCTCATACAGTCAAAATCAAATCTTTATGAGTGATTTCAGCCAAATTAACTGAAAAATTCTACAAAAGATTTGTGTTGAAGAAGATGAAGAATAAGAAATTGTCCAAAGGGTTTCTGAAAAAAAAATCATGTTCTTCTTCGTTGAAAATGTTGTTTAAATTTAAATGTTTGAAATTATTCTTTGTTGTATAAGTTAAGAAAAGAGAAATTTGAGAGATTTTATTGTCTTACCAAACTTCTCTTTTGATTTTGGGTGCTTTTGATTACAATTTGGGTCATGGATGGATTAAAATTGGGAAAGATGGGTGAATTTTTGTAATGAGAAAATAGTCAAATACCCCCTTAATCTATTACCAGATTACCAACTACACACTTATACTTCACGAGAAACCTATTACCTCCCTAGACTATTTTAATATAATTATTTGCTCCCTGAATGCCGAGGTGGCAAAGAAGGTGTAGTTCACTCTCTTTGAGAGAGTGAGAGGCAACAAAAATAATTAAAACTTTAATATATAAGTATTTATTTTATTTCATAGTAATTTTTTTTGAATTTTATGTTTACTTTTATTCTTATTTATTTTTCATTTTTACCTTCTTCCTCTTCTTTCTTTTCCTCTTTAACAGGGCAATTTCAACTCACGTCCACCACCAGGCCCACATCATCCATTTATCACTAAGTCAACTCTCATCTTCAAATCACATACTTGTCACCATAACTTCACTTCTCACTGATTTGAAAATTTAGCAGTAACTCAAAGTTAAAATCGAAGGTCAAAAAGGATTGAACTTTAGTGTAAAAATGGAGAAAAATTCATTCGTAACAAACCCATTAACTTAGAAGAATTTAATAACAAAATCATTGGGTGACAAACTAATTAATGGAGAAAACCCATTTATTGAAATGGTTGCAAGAATCCATCAAACTTCTTAGGTTAACATTGTTAAATCGAAATCAACATTAGTCTCTCCACTAGTCAACACCGGTATCGTCATTTCGGCTAACTAGTGTTGCTTACTAGTTATTTTTCAAAGCATTGTTTTAAGTTCAATACTAGCAATGAAAGCATAAGTGATTCCGACGATGGAGTTTTCCATTCTCCTAAAGCTTCAATAAATAACATCAAGATATTGTTGATATCAGATCTCCTCTAAACGTCTAAGCATATGTAGTAGTCATGGAATGTATCCTATCTAAAAAGGCATTTTTTAAAATCTGAAAAGCATTGTTGAAGACAAAGAAAAAGAGGAATGAAAAAGAGAAGTAGAAAAGGAAAATATAAAAGGAAAAAGCATAATAGAGAAAAATAATTATTTTTTAATATAAAAAACGTAATATTACGTGGCAGGGCGCGTGCAGATCACTACTTAGTGCGAATCTGAGTGTTCGATTTTAAGGGGATATATATTTCATTTTGAAAATGTCCAGGGTGGTAATATGACTCCCGTAAAGTATATGTGTAGTTGGTAATCTGATTATAGGTTGAGCGGTGATAGGCTATTTTCTCTTTTTGTAATTGTGGGTAAAAATTAAATTAATGAGTAGGCCTTTAAGATTATGACACGTGTACCTCCGTCTATCCTAAGGGTATATACATTCTAGAATATTGACGGTAAAGACATACACAACCCAAAAGTATAACGAAGGATATTGACATACCATTTACGATAGTTCGGGGATATATTTGTCCTTTTTCCCTTTTTAAAATGAAGAATTGAAGTGTAAGATTCTAATAGCGTGACAACAATGATTGAGCTATGCTCAACAATCCGCTTAAACAACTTAACTTGAATAAAATGAGTGCTTATCAATTTGTGAATTATAGAAAAAGAAGTAGAATTTTTCTTACTAATAGTGAAGATTTTGAGAGGAAAAATTGGAACTCAAATAGCGATAGAATTGTTTGGTAAGGTGTATAAAAATTGTACTCTCTGTCCTTTTTTATATGTCATCCATTTCTATAAATAGTTGGTCCATAATACTTGTCATTTCATAAAATCAATGCATAAATTACCATATTGTTCCTTTTTTTTTTTTTTACCCTTATGAGTTATTAGCCTTGAAAACATACATTTGACCAACTTAGAAAAGCTAAGTAAATGATTCATGTTCATTGGTTAGGTTAATTAATCAAAATAAATTAATTCATATTCATTGATTGAAAACTTGAGTTCCAAAAAAATTAAATAAGGGTAGAAGGGTAAAATTACATCATTTCTTAATGCAAGTGCAAAGTAAAAATGTAACATATAAAAAGGGACGGAGGGAGTAGTAAATAAAGTGTATTAATAAAGTTGGTATTTGTTATATTGATATTAGTAACAGTAAAGATTATTTGGTTTAGATTTTTAAAAATAATTTTGACTTTTTACTTGTCAAATTTTGACTTTTTATTTGTTCCTTTTTACTTGTCAATTTTGACAAATCAAGAAAACACAACTTTTTTTTTACTTATTATACCCTCAATTTATTTAGAGAATTAATGTTTTTGAAAAAGGTAAAACCTCTTTAATGAGTAAATTGATTTTGAAATTCTATCAAATAATAGGGAAAATAGTAAACTCATTATATCAATTATTATTTTCTTATAGGTGTACCTAGAGGTGTCAAATGAGCGGGTTGGATTGAGATTGCAGATATATGGGTTGAAATAGAAATTGGGTTGGGTCTTGACCCGCCCAAATCTAATTTGGGCTCAAATGGGATTAAAACGGATTGGGTCTTGACCCGCCCATAATCTCAATAATTTTAATATATTATTATTTAAGTTTTACAATCACAATTTGAATTTCTACTCGAGAATTTTAAAAAAAAAAAAAGTTACAAATGGATAGATAAATCCTAAAAAATATATATAATAGATAGTAATCCATAACTTCAATATAGGAACCTACATTACATCAATGCAAATAAAGAGTCTTAAAACGAGTTGAAATTGGAGATTAAATTGGGCACAATTGAGGATTCTCTTAAAATGAGTTAAAGACCTGAATGAGTTGAAATTGAATCCGATCTAAATTGGGAAAATTGTATGAAATAACAAACTATTAATTCAAATTAAATGTTATAGTCATGGTTTATTTTATTTGTAATTCGCAGCAAACATCCCCTTTTTTTGCCATCTGGTTCGATATACAATTATGCCATTTTCGGTATACAATTACCCATTCGGTATACAAATGTATAAAATGTGTTTGTGTTTCTATAAAACGAGAGAAAGATGTATATACAAATACATATATTTTCGTCCTATACACTTATAATTATACAAATACAGATCTTATTATACAAATTACAATGTATAAATGAATTTATACAAAACTGAATAATTTGTATAAAATTGGATATATCTAGTGAATTATACAAATCAAAAATTTCATAGCAAACATAAAATTTGTTACAGAGCGCAATTATACAAACTATAATTATAACATACAAATATAATTTTTATGTTTACTATATGTGAAAGTTAATTTTTTAAATTATCTTGAGTCCAATCCATAAAATTTTGGACAAGTTATCTATAGTTGAACTCATTATTGACACATGTAACAAAGGGTGTAATTTCAAGAATCACCTGATGCCACCTTGGAAGGATAGGTAGATTCTAGAACAAATGAACAAAGGCAATAGACCATGTGGGGCAGCAACGTGTCGTCCAAGTCTCAGATTCTTCTCTTTCTCTTTGGATTTCTGTAGAAAAAATAAGCAATCAATCAGAGAAAGGAGCAAAGAATAGTAAGTAACATATATAAAGATAAAGAATCCACAAACAAACAAATTTCTCTTCATAAAAAAGTGACCTTTTTTTGCTTTCCATTCTTCCTTTTTGTTGTTGGTAAGTCAAAACTAGTCCTCCTTTTTTGTTTCTATCAATTATTGGTTTCACTTCTCTCTGTTTGTTTGTTTTTCTATACTGGGTTTGGGTAAGAAAGAGTAGAAGAAAGATTCAATTTCTAATCCGTTTTTTTTTTGTTTTTTCTCTTTCAACAATAAATACCTACTTAATGAGGTTTAATTTTGGCCAAGAACTGTTTTTTTTTTTTTTTTACCCCCATTCCCAAGCTCCCCTTTTTGCTCCCTTGTGACACGAACTCTGAACCCTTCAGGTAGGAAGAAGTGAGGGGTGCTTACCGTCCGAACTATTGTTTTCATATAATCTTGTTGAATTCTTGGTACCCTTGGCTTTGATGTTGTTTGTGATTGTTGAAATATATAGCAGAAAATAGGTTGTTTGATTGTTGCTGAATTTTATGGCAGTTGACTATATAGTTTTAATGCCCATGAGTTTGATTAGAAGGGCTGATGGCTATAAGCTGCAAAATTTCTGTAGATAAGGAGGTTGTTTTGCCCCTTACACTTTGTTTGGATGGTTGTTACATATCGTTTCATAATATATTGTATATTGTTGTGTTGTGTTGGCTATAAGCTGCAAAAATTATGTACTAAAGAGGCTGATTTGCTCCTTCCACTTTGTTTGGATGGTTGTTACATATGGTTTTATAATATATTGTATTGTGTTGTGTTGGCTATAAGCTGCAAAATTTCTGTAGCTACAGAGGCTGATTTGCCCCTTACATTTTGTTTGGATGGTTGTTACATATCCTTACATAATATATCTTATGTATTGTATTGTATTGTATTGTATTGTATTGTATTGTGTTGTATCGTATTGTACTATATTGTTTGATGATATAATGTTTCGATAGATTTGTATTGTTTTCCATCGTTACATAACGTTGTACATCAAGAAAGATGGTAAGATAGTTGTGATTGTCAAAAGGCATCCCTTTGGTTGTGTTTCCTCTTATGGTTATGATTACATAGTTTTAATGCCCATGAGTTGCATGATTAAAAGAGCCACTGTCTATAAGCTGTAAATTTGTTATAATAATTCTAATTCTCTTATTGTCAAAAGGCATGCATCCTTTCTTTTCTGTCCTGCAAATTCTGTTTTTCATTATGTTTCTATTTTCTCTATTTGGATAGAGGAATGTCTAACAATCTGCTAGTTGATCCTAATTGGGCAGGTCTCAGATAAGATCTTAGGAATGTAAATTTTATTTGGTTTGGTTTACCATATAATTAATTGGTAGATTCTACTTTCACATTTTCACGATTTAATGTATCTTTTGTGTTGTTCTTACTGAAATAAATAAAGAATGGATACAAGAGTCTTTGTATTATTTGAACTGCCTTATCTTAAAGTTAAGTTGTTATAAAGGGCACAGCACATCTTTATATTTACTGCAATATGTACCTTCATGTGCGGCTCAAATTATTTTTTCATTCCCCAGCATGTGAACATACATTTTGATGTCTTGATTAAAAAATAAACTTAAACTGGAACCTTGATGAATAATATGAAGCAAGAGACAGCGAAAACAGGTAATCTAGAAGAGAAAGGGACTCTTAGGTGTTGACATGTTTTCTTCTGTGCTGTTACTTATTTTGATTGAGTTCCAGATGTCGCCCCCTTACACTATCTTTTTATGCCTTCTCTACTGCCTTTCTCCTTATGCATTCTTTTCACCATTAATGTTTTCCGGGGATGTTAGATACTTAAAACTAAAGTTCTAGATGATTTTCTAGTGTTTGATTAGGTACAAAATAGGTTGGTATATGAAAATCCTACAAGGTGTAGCATAGGCATGAGGATAGTATCTTCGTGAAATCGTTTGACTAGTGAAGGTTGACAATTACATATAAATACTGATTGAAGCAGCTGATATAGTGTGAATGTTGAAATACTCGTGAAGGAAAATGATTCTCTCGGAAGTGAGAGAAGTCATTCTACGAAAAGCATCCTTGAAGAAAATATTTCAGCAGTTCAAAGTAACCAAATACTAGAAAATGATTTCATCCATGAAATATTTTCCTTGGAGAACATTTTTTATCATAGGAACACACTTCTAGGTTTAACATAAGCCAAGCCAGAAAATTGGCAAACATTGCTGATCGGTTGGTTATCGAATTTAACCTAAAATTCTGAGAAATTGAAAATTTTAAGGAAGCCATTTCAAGTAATTTTGAGTAACTGATCACGTTTTTCCTTATGCTTTTGATATTTATTTTCTGCATTAAATAGAAATATCAACTGATGTGCTTGATTCAATAAAAATGCTTTTGGTTAAGGAAAGGGATCTCAACAAGATAGTCCAGAAGCAAATATTGTAAGCAAATTGTATTGATTGTAGCTCTCTATAACCAACTGTGTATAGACATAATTTCTTTTCTATATTACCTGATTCCTCAAAGTTTATTACCAGAGCTTTCGAAATCTTTAATATATTCGAAAGCCCTGAAGATTTACAGTTGAAATGTGGTCTAGCATCTACATTGGGTTTGCACTCATGTAGTTTTTTGAGTTTCTATTCAAATATAGAGAAGTATCTACGGATAAGTTAAAACTGCTTATGGTGTCCACCTACGCCATGCCAAGTTGCCAACTCTGTCATACAATCTTTGCTTTTACACTTGAAGCTGATAACTAGCATATTTATGAGATTGATGTAGTTTATGTTTAATCTTTTCATTCATTAATTTCAGGAGAAATAAAGTACAGAAAAGAGTCGAAGTAAGTTTATATTGAGTACAACAACTATAATGGAAATCAACACTTATCAAACTCGCGCTGAGATGCTTCTTCGAAGTTACATTCTTTCAGATTCTTTCATTGTCTACTCTTCTGTTATTGGTGGTGTTTTCGCATGCAAGCTGGTATGACTAGTTCCTTACTATAATGACTTCTTCAAGATGAGGACCCTCATCGAATCCTAATTCTAATGGAGTAGAATTTTGCATTTCTGTGCTTGACTTTAATGTATAATCATGTTTAATGTGCTCAGTCTTTTTTTATTCAATTACCCAGACAATGTCTGAGTGGTGTGGTATTATTAGCAATAGGGGCCTCAATACAACACAGCTTAGTAACTACTTGGTGATTCCATCACCCAAAAACTCAGCTTTGTCAAATCTAGTCCTAATACTGGGCATCTGGAATTTGTCTTAGCTGAAACAGATCCTTAGCCTCTCCTGGAAGTTGTTGGGAGGTATGAATCATCAAATTTGATCATTGCTTGAAGCTAGCTCAGCAAGAAAATCTGCTACTTGGTTTCCCTCTCTGTACCAGTGATTCATTTGTATTCCAGCTCTCTTCTTGTAGTTGATGATGTTGTCCACAATTTGCTTAAGCTTCAGGTTTGAAGTGTCTTCCTTTGTCACCATATTGGCTACTAACGTAGAGTCAAGTTCTAAAGTGAAATTAGGATGTACATAAAGGAAACACCATTACTGTGCTCAATCCTCTTGAAGATATGTATACTTTACTGTTTTGTATAACTAGCTATTTCTTAAATATCTGTATGTTTCAGGTATATGATCTTAGCCAGATATTCTCCTCTATTTACTTTAAGCGCTATGCTGGGCTCTCAAAATCACAACAAGTTGAATGGAATAACCGGTAATTAGTCACCCTTTTCTCCTCATTTTTACTATTCTTTGTCATGGTCAAGTAAATATAAAGCTTCACTTATGGTATAGGTCCATATCTACAGTTCATGCAATATTCATTACAGCCATGTCACTGTTCTTGGCATTCTGGTCAGATCTTTTCTCTGATGATCAGCTGTCTGGCCTTGTCATTATGCGGAGTTCCACTTTATCAACCTCTGTCTTGGGGGTGAGTGCTTTGTTATCCACTGATGTTCTTGTTTACCTGTCACTATTGGTTGTGTAGACAATAAGGGAGCTGTTAAAATGGCGACTAATTGGTATTATATTTGTTGGCAGAAATAAGGAGATGTATAATCTCAAGTTGGGTTCATTTTGGTTGCATTAGTGTATTTAACTTTGGTTGTTAGGCCTTTTTGAGCTTCACTGAGCTGTGATCTTAGTTAAAGTTATCCATCCATACTTCTGTTACAACAACAACATACTTAGTGAAATCCCACAAGTGAGGTCTGGAGGTAGAGTGTACACAAGCCTTACCCTTACCTCGTGGAGGTAGAGAGGTTGTTTCCGAAAGACCCTCCACTCAAAGTGAACTATTTTGGTTGGGGGGGGGGGGTATTCCGAGAAATGAACTCGGCACCTCTCGCACCCTAAGCGAGAATCATTACCACAATGTAGGGCAATCTGTTACATTGCTGAAATTTCTAATAGTTCTAGTGAGCGTCCTTTCTAAAACACACATTACTGGAGGTTGTCATAATTGGTTCAATTCTCACTTACATGCATTTCTTGACAAGTAGGTTGTCAAAGGTTTAAAGAGGTAATTTGGCTGCTTTTGTATCTACTTCACAACAAAGCTCCTTTGCTATTGCATGTTCACCTTTCTGATCTAACACCAGAAACGGTGGCCAGGGATCATCTTCTCAATAGGATAGGAAGAATCTAGGTTGTTGTCATTGTAAAATGAGTTGTCCAGCTGGGGTTCCTTGTATCCTCTCCCCTTGTTTGTCCTCCTCATCTAATTACTTTTCTCTTAAAGGCTGAGGCGCTTAAGCCAGTGAAAGTAATTCTTCATCGTTTTTAAATCTATTTTCTGGTCAAATTACTTTGCATTGTCACATTGCTTCCATTGATAACTTTGCCCAAAGCTTTGTTTATTATCTCACATCTGAATCACCCAGTACTCATGGTTTAGATCAGCATGTCACTTGTTTTTCCTTTCAGTGATTTTACATACAAAGAAAAGAGAGAACATAAGTTAGTTGGTCGAAGAATTAACAAAAGTAGAAAACCATTAGCATCGATGACTTGAACCCTTGACCACATACTTTTTTAACTTATTTCAGAAGTCAAATAGTGGGAAGTTATTTTTCATGTCATAATCTTTTATTAGCAGAAAACAGTAGCTGCTATGATATATTTGTTGGACTGAAAAATAACCAAACTGATTCTGTATCTTCTAATGTATTCTGGTTATGAGCGGGATTCATATGTGTGTGAGTTGCCCAAAATTATATTAGCAGGGGCCATGGTAGTTTCTCTGTGGCAGTTAAGGTCTAATCATGGCATCATAAATATTCTTCAATTTTTTCTCCTGTCAGTAGTATAATTGCTACACCAATCCAGTGTCTTGTTTTCATCTCATTCAGATTCTGGGGTTGAATAGATTTTCTTTCCAGCCTTCTTTATTGATGTAGTTGTCCTAGTGTGTCATACATAAACTGCTTGATGAGGTATCTTTCAAACTGAGTATAACCATTAAGCCAGTTAATACATGGAATTAGGCCGACATCTTTGGGTAAGTAACCTGTTTGAGAAACGTAATAGCTTCAGATAGAACATTTAGGTGAGGTGTAAAACTGATGCCATATATTGTTTCAAAGATGCAATTCTCAGAGAATGTTAATCTCGAAACTAGTGCTGTATCTTTCTTTGTTTTTATATGTTCTGAAAGCTTATAATTTATTTTCATCGCCATTTATGTGTTCTGTACCAACACTTGTTTCTTTTGTAATAAGTTTTAATGTCTTCTTCATAGGTTTCTGTGGGATATTTTCTCACTGATCTTGCTATGATCCTTTGGTTTTATCCTTCTTTAGGTGGAATGGAATATGTAAGTGCTTCTTGTTTTCCTTCTATTTAATTTAGACTTGGTTTGGTGATTGACATATTCTTTTTTCTTGTGCAGCTGGTTCATCACCTTCTCTCTTTGGTGGCACTGTCATATGCTATGTTGACTGGTGAGGCTCAGTTTTATGTGTACATGGTTTTACTTTCTGAGGCAACTACCCCGGGGATCAACTTGAGATGGTACCAATAGAAATATCAAATCCCACCCTTGCTTCTTTACGAGTTATCTTCCACACGTATTCCATTTTCTTGAATCGATCCTTTGTTTCTTTATAGGTATCTTGATGTAGCTGGATTGAAAAAGTCGAAAGCATACCTGATAAACGGTTTCATGATGGTGTTTGTTTGGCTGGTATGTTAAGTATTAGCTATAGTATCTATCTTTATGCTGTCATGACCGATTGAGGTCAAGTTTTTGTAAATGCTAAATCATAGATGGTTAATTTGCAGGTTGCCAGAATTTTGGTATTCATTTACGTGTTCTACCACTTCTACGTCCACTACGATCAGGTAATGTTCTAAATAATAAACGACTGCTTAACAGAAGCATCAAATTTGGTCAAGAAAATGGATTAATTGTGTGCTTTGGTTTCGTCTTTCGGATTGAAAACAGGTTATGAAGGTGTCTTCATTTGGGATTTTCTTGGTATGTGTTGTGCCATTGGTAATTGCTGTGATGAACTTGGTTTGGTTCTGGAAGATTGTGAAAGGACTTAAGAAAACTTTAGCAAAGAGGAACTGAAGTTTGGACCAAATTAACAATCCTCATATCACATATTCAAATACCTCAACTATTCTCCTTGTGTACATAAAAATTGAATACAATTGACTTGCTGTGCTGTTCTCAACAGGGTTCAATAGATAATATAGACGAAAATGACTCATAGATAATTAAAACACTATATACCAAAAGGTATCCTTCTCTAAAAGTACAGACCAAAATGGACATTTCGCTTATTTATGGGCAAACTGTGACGGATGAACTTAACTCAGTTACTTCACTCAAAGGTCAAAATATATCAAAAAAAAAATTAAAGGTAGTTTGCCCATAATTGTTTTATTAGCTTTTCATTAGAGCTATATCATATCTAGTTTTTAGGCGTATATTGTGGAGTTTATTTGATACATAAAATCTGAGTCTTCATCAAAAGTACAATAACAATTGATTATTTTTTTTCATAAAGTGAATTTTACTATTTTTTTGAGAATGATGGAGACAATGATTCTTCTTATGACTGATTTTTCTACATAAACAATATTTTTGTGCCAATGTCCATTTAAAAAATTAAATTTTTGTTCACCTTGAATTGTAATTGACTCGAACTCCCACTTACCTCTTTTTTTTTTTTTTTTTTGGGTACTCTTATTATTGAAGAAATTCATGATTTTAATTATTAAAATAGAGCTCACAATACATTTAAAATTAGATATGATATAGTTTACATAAGAAGCAAATAAAAAGAATTATAGTTCTCGTGGGCGAACTAACCTTAAAAATTTTGTTATGTATTTTGACTTTTGGGATAAATAAACGGAGTTAAGTTTATTTGTTGCAGTTCGCCCATAAATGAGCAGAGTGTCCATTTTAATCTATGTTTATAAGAAAGGTCTCCTTTAATATGTCATGCCCAACAATAAAATGCCCGTTTTGAAGCAGGATTCAATAAAAAATCTGGAAAAAAATGAAATAATACATCTTTTTTGGATCAGGTTTTTTTCTATTTAGAAAAAATGTGTGAAGAGGAAGGAACAAATAGTAAGAATTAAATAATTAATCGACTAAAAATTCTTTGTTCATGATTCATACAAAAATTACTGGGCGCGTAGATACAAATGCCAGCGTTATTGATATCCCACATTAATGTATATAAAATACAAGATTAGCTAGCTAGAGGGACTACTCTATATTACTCAAGGATCGTTTGATTGGTGAGATGAAATAGATAAAATATTCTTCTGACTAAATAATAACTATTATCAAATGAAGAATAAAATAATCTCATGTCATAGAATATCTCAAGATTATTATCCTTATCCCACCAATCAAACGATCGTAATTTTATTTTAACAATAGAAACATGAAGAAATAGATAAGTCTAGGTTAACGTGAGGATCGTCCTTTGTAGATTTCAAAACTTGCTTTGTGGAGGAATCATTTTGGGAATTTTGATGATTATAATCATTCAAAGGCCAAAAATTGATCTCCCTTTCATGTGGAAACTCACAAATTTCGCTACTAATTGGACCACCACCATCATCTTCTTCTTCTTCCTTTGTCATTCCACTACTTAAACTTCCTTGTGCTTCCTGAATTCACACAAAGAAATATAATATTTGGATTCGAGATTTAAGCTCTATGAATTTAACTTTAAGACGATTTTAGTATTGAATTTATAAAATGGAAAAGCATATAAAAAAAGAGAAGCTTTTGAACTATGAGAAATTGAACAAAAATGCATTCAGTTAATAGCTAACACTTTTTGCCCTTTTCCCTTTTCCGTTAGTAGAGAACATTTTTAGACAAAAATATTGAGGGACTTTTAGTTCAATTTTACATAGCTAACACTTTTTGCCCTTTTCCGTTTATAAAATTATGAATTCTGACCTTATACTTTTTGTTGCAATGTTAGTGCATTTTAAAAGATAAACTTATATTTAACGAGTGGACTCCACCCAATAAGGAGGGTAAAATGCTCCTCACTCAAAAAATAAATAAATCGTTTCTAGTATTTGAGTTCGATCAAGATATTTAATTAAGGGTAAAACGTTCTTCGCTCAAAAAAAAATTGTTTCTAATATTTGAACTGATTAAGACCAGAAAGAATCCCGATCATTCCATGCGACATTAGACATTAGTAATGTAACCAAGTTGTCTTCAAATGAATTAAGGAAAATCATCAAATTACCTGGTAGTCATAGCAATATATATTATTTTCAGCAATATATGCATTGATTATTGCTTTGTAATTGGGGAATTTATCACTTCCAGGGTCTATTTGTTTGCTGCTCTTTGAAGGACCATGTTCTAATATTGTTTCACTCACATGCCTGCAAAAGTATAATAAAATATTAAATGATACCAACATGATTGAGTCGCCTTTTTTGAGAATTGTTTTATTTTAAACGTCAGACTTTCTAGCACATATTTGAATTTAAATAGACGTTTGACCATAGAAATCAAATATTTGTCTTTTCTTCTTCTTTAATTTCTTTACCAAAAAAAGTGACAAATTAGGTAGAAATATCATCTCAAAGTCTATGGAAATATTTACATTAGAGTTGATTAATTGTAGTTTAGCTGAGTCAGTGAACACTAGCTGGAATATTATTATTCATAACCAAAAGTCATAGTGTTTTGGTAAGCTAATAATGCAATAATTAATGAAATGCATTTATCATCTAGGTCTTTCCTTCTGCAGTCAAATAAATGGAATTTAAATTCATATATTAGGAAAAAAAGGAAAGGAAACAGTAATGATTATAAAAAAAATGATTAATCTAAATACTCTCCCTCTGTCACATTTTATATAAATTTAGGTATTACAATTAAATAAGTAATTTGCAATTTGCATTCTTAATGCATGTGTTATTTTCTCCCTCTTTTTAAATATTTAGTTTTGAATTATAGTATAATTATTTTTTTTTGTTTCCACTCGTGCTGTGTTTCTATTTAATTCAGATTCTCACCATATATGTACGTATTTAAAAAGGGAAGAAGCGCTCCAATTCCTATAAGAATATTTTTATTCTAAAAGCTCGAACTCGAGATTTCTGATCAAGATTATATATTTACAGACTTACTCATATGGGGAAGACCATGAAAATTGTGGTGTCTCTTCATGGAAGTTGTTCACAGAATTAACAATATTGAGGTTGCCTCTCTCCTTCAAGTTTCTGTACATCTGATTTTCAATTATACATCAAACAATTAATTAATTAATTAATTAACATAAAACACAAAAGTGTTATTTTTAATAAGGAAATTATGCATGGCTTAGAATGGAACAGCTCATTAGTAGACTGGATTTCAAACTTTTAAGTTTTTTTCTTATTTAGTAATAGTAGGGCACTAGGGCTTCATATATACCTAACCTAATCACTTATCTAATTTTAAGCATCATGTGCTAAAGTAAAAGTCTATAATAATCCTCTCCAATATTCCGCAAATTCATACGATATTCATAAAGAGATCAAAATATGTTAGACTTTTCTTGATAATTAAATACTTCAAGAAGATTCACAAGTCCAACCCAAATCATTCTAGTTCGAGAAATACGCCACTAACGACCCTCGAATCACGGAGAAATCCTAATCATCCTAATTCGAAAAATACGTCACTAATGACCTTCGAATCATGGAAAAAATTGTGAGATAAAAATCAAAGAAGAAACATAATTATACCCATATTATTTTAATAAAATATTCTTGTTTCTTAAAAAAAAAAGTCTATAATTGAAAAACAAAAAGAAAACAAACACACACACAAAAAAAAGTATATGGAATCTTTTCTGAAATAAAATTACCAATTAGGTTGTTATATTCCAGAAATTAAATTAAAACTTTGTGTACATACTTATTAACTTTCACTCAAAATATGCATTCTTAAGTTTAGATCAAGTTAATTAATCTTCCCTTTTATGCTTTGAAAAATTAATATGGTATGTCAGACTTGTTATTAAAGAAATCAAATTGCAAATGTCGACATAAAACATAATATAAACGTGCTTCAATATTCCTTCATTTTCTTTATTTCTCATTTCGAAAACATCATGATTATATTTGTATTCTTGAAACCTTTATTTTCAAGAAAAGGAATAGAAAAATTATATTTTAATTAACAAATTTCAAATTTGATAATGATATACATTACAATGCAAAACTAGAAAGAATAATAATGCATGTAATCTCAAACAAACATCCAAAAATACACACTAATAAAAACTCAAACAATCATCCAAAAATATTTATATCAAACAATCATCCAAAAATACACACTAATGAAATCTCACTATTTTCTCACTGAAATATGTTGAATGGTTATTTTCATAGATATTTTGATTCAATCGATGAGAAAAGAAAAAATAATAGTGTATTCACACGGAAAAATTAGAAAGCTTCACAATATTTCAGTGAGAATCTGTTTCTTACCATGTGTTATCCTAGTGAGCTAGTTCGGTTAAAAAATAGATAGAAAAATCATGTTTTATAAAACAAATTTCTCAAGATTCGTGGTGGCCGAGAAAAAACTCTATATTTCTAGTTATAACATTACTTTTGAAGGATCTGACACACACCCTTCATCCCTTAATATATCTTTTTAAGAATCAATTACCTGGAGATGGCTTTTAACATGAGAAATCTTCAATCCCTTTACTGCCATCATTTGTTGAATTCTCTTTGGAGTTGCTTCTATCATATTAAATAAATAAAAAAAAACCATTACTCCTTAATTTCTTACTAAATAGCAATAGATCATCATAATTAACTACTAATTAATCATCCCATATTAAATCTCTTTCTATATAGCCAAAAACATCAAAATTAGAAAGAAAAAAACATATTGATCAAGAAATAAACAACTAAAAAAATATACAAATTTTTTTAATTGGAAAACTTACTATGTCCTCCTCCAAGAAGTTGAACAACTTCAATGAAGAGTTCATGAAGTTGTGGTGTCCATCTAAGTCTAGGTATTGATGATTTCATGTATTGTCTAACACCTATTTTTTTACAACACTTTTTTTTCATTTTTGAGAAATATTTCATCAGCAAAAAAGATATAAAATCGATTGGCCAAATTTAATTGGAGTGTATGTGTATATATATATAGAGAAATATATAAGATTGGAACCATAAAAAGAAAGAAGAGAATTACGGCTATGTAGA